AGGTTACTTAAAAGAGGGGTGGATTATTATGCGGGGTGTGCAAACTACCGGCAGAAGTGGGGAGGAGAGAGAGGGGGGGGGGGGGGGGGGGGGGTCGCAACTACTATTATTATACAGGCATAAAGAGAATGGCTGTCCCCAGACAGGCTCACTCTTCATGTTACTGTCACAGTAAAACTGCTCCCCTGGTAACTGTCACAAAATGACACTGTTGTTTATTTGATTGTGGCAGAACCTACCTAGTCCCGAGCCACACAGGACTTATTGTCGATTGGGCTTCCTTTGTCAATTATGTATTTATCTCATTTGCTGTAATGAATAAAAAGGGTTCTCAGTAACATCATGCATATGCAAACGCAAGGAAGGTACAGTGGGGCTTTTCTTGTTCTTAACTTAGGAAGTGCAGCTCTTTTCTTTTTTAGGTAGAATGAAGAAAAGATGAGGAAATATGCAGCCCTTGCTGTCTGCAATACTTCAATGTAGAACTCAGCAGTGTTTTAAAACACTGGTGGGAAATTGAATGGGAAATTTGTCTGGGTGTCACATCAACGTGTTCACTTTAAAATGGCTTAAAGACGTGAACTTATTTTGCACCAAATATGGCTCCATGTTCGATACAATCTCCATCTGGAAAAGAAAAAAAGGAATGAAACTAACAGAAATGTCACATTTTTTACCTTATTGTTTATATTTTTTGACTGTTTTTATTTTTTGGGGTTTTAGCACTTGCAGATGCCAGTGAGCACTATATGAAAATGATAGTAATACATAGTGTCTTTTGGTTTACTTGCTTATTTGGGATCATGGTTATTTAATTGATATCCAGACGTTTTTATTTAATGGGAAATTCTGAATAAATGCATAAAAAGAACTCTCAATGCATTTTTCTCTCCCAAAATGAATCGTGTCCCAAAATTACCTCTTTAATCTTTGATAACTACACCTCTGTCGTCTATCCATGTCAAAAGGAATGCAATTTTTATTATTTGTCACTTCCTTCAAATTTTTTGTTGTGCAAAGTATGCAGGCACAGAAAACAAACTATTATCACAAATACGAAATAGGCTTTTTACTGCAGTGCACTGCATAAAAATCAGGAAGGAAAAACAAGAAAAAAAGTTCTTCTTTCAAAATTAGTAAGTCGGTGTTTTGATTACATCATTTAGCAGATGTTCCAGTGAATTCTGTCTTGTTTGGAACTTATGAGTCAGAGTAATGAGACAAGGCCAGCGATGTGTTGTCTTTGCATGTGGTGAGCTCACTGGTGAAATTTGAATTGGAAAAAAAAAAAGTCAGATGGATTCTTTGTGGCATTACCTTTGAGAGATTCCACTGTGATGCCTTATGTTCAACATTGAGATTTAAATAAAATAAATTTAAAAAAAGCAATTTACAGGTGAATGGATGCGACAAACTCCCTGAACTACCCAAACCTTTAACCGAGTGAAGCAGTCAGTAACTGGTTTCACAATAAATAAAATGTAGGGCCAAAAATTATAGATAAAGATAAATAAAATATGGAAATCATGATCTGTGACAGTGGATTATATTGAATCCTAAAAAAGATGATCTTTGTCCACTGACTACATACACATGAAAAAGTGGCAGCCTTAAAATGCTTTAAGAAGACAGCTTCAAAGTATTCTACACCAGTTTCACAAGTTTTAGTTATTATTCACATACAGTTAACACTAAACTTCAGACAATAGAAACCTATTGATCAATTATTCTTAAATAAGAAGGTTACATACTGGATATCAGGTTGTAAATGAGCTATATTTACTGATTAATACTTTAAAAGTAAACTTTTTCTGTTGTGGCTCTGCCAATTTAAACTGCTCATTCATAGAAACTTACCCGCTTAGCTTACTGCATTTAAATCTGTTTGCAAATGCAAAACGGGAATAAAAGAGAAAATGGAAATAAGATGCTGGTAAACAGCATCCAGAGTCAGAGACCGGTGAGCTCTTCCTCACCATGTAAATCCACACCCACTCATAATTAGCAAACCAGGTAGAACAACAAAACATTTGTTTGTTTTTTTGAGTACTTAAAAGATTTAAAAACCTGAATCGGGGGCTTGTTTTCCTGGATTCTGCGCCTCGGGGTACTGGCTGATTTTTTCCTCTTTCGCTTTAGCTTGTTGACGATCGGCAACACAGCCAGAATACCAGTTCTAGCTGCAGTCATTTTTCAACTGTGACTCATTTGGTAACACTTTCAGTCTCTCAAACGGGTGTGCGTCTGCACAGGACTTTTGCTTAAGTCACCATCAACAGGTAGAGCGTTGATGGTGACTAGAAGGACTTTTTTTCCTCAAAGTCCTTCTAGAGGTCAGCTCTGCGCTTTGTAGGGAAAGCAGAGGAAAGAAAGTCAACCACATGGCCCGAGTTAATATCGAATAAAAGCAAAAGTAATGCAAAGGGAAGCATAGAAAACCCAAACATCACGATGTAAATTTGTTGTAAGCTACTTTTAAATACACCTGTGAATGGTCCAGCTGGTATTTATGTGTATTTGTATGTGCGTGGGGTGAAGACACAGATCTGGTTATAACGCGGTAACAACGAGGGGATTCACCTCCCATGCGGGGACAAAACTTCGGTCGCTGCACGGTTAACCATAGCAGAGTATTTGTTGCACATAAATCCAATTGATAGTTTAGTCTGCGGATTCCAGTGATAAGTCTTGAGTCTTCTGACATTTTGTCGTACATCATTTACCCCTCATATTTGATTGCTGAATTGTTTGGCGCAATTTTGTCAAAATGATCTGTTTTCAGAAATGTGCCTGAACTCACAAGGTCCCACTAAATACGTACAGCTAGTTCAATTAATCCTCATCAAATCCAGTGGCATTGTTTTTAATATAGTAATTACTTAGTAATAAGCAGGCATTTTACACAAAGATGCGTTCTTTTTCCCATCTTTAATGAGGGCAGCCCATAAAATCATCCGTGCTTAAAACTGAGGACTGTTTGGAATAGGAAGGGTTTGATGTTTCCATAAAACATGAGTTTCTTTAACCAAAAGATCATTCCAGGTTCCATATCAGTCATCATAATAACCAGGATTAATCCTAGTGAGCGTTCAAAGTTAAGGTTGTTTTTTTGTTTATTCTTGGTGCCGAAAATTCAGAATTTAGACATAATCTGGATCTGGTTTTGTTCGATGAGTTCTTTTCAGTATGAGAGGTTGGGAGTCCGTCTGTTCTCACTTCCCCGCAGGGCAGTAGTCACTTCATCTCCTAAAAGCTGGAAACTTCTGCACGAGCCTGCAAGGTAGAGCCATTTTCCTGCCTTCTCTTTGCACATTAAAGCCTGAGAACGTCAGTTCTCGGCGTAATGGTGCCGTTTTTCGAAATCGGGCAGGCCGTCTTGAGTTTTTTTTGCCTTCCCCCCCCCCCCCCCCGGTTCCTCATTGAAAACATAAGAATGGTATGTGAATTGTTCTCATGAATGCACGCATGCACTTCTGCTTGTAGTTCTGCGGTGGCAGTTTTGACTCTGCTGTGTGGCGGCATGTGCATCAAAGTTGCGGCACGCTCACTGCCCACTCGTACCAGCAAGTTTTTGGGGTTTTTGTTTTTTTCACCGTCCGGCTTCTTTGCTCTTGTCTCGCTCTTCTAACAGCCATCAAGGAGAAATACAGCGACTGGACCGAGTTCCTCATTCAGGACCTGACCGGCTCCAGGACGGCGCCGGCTAATCTGCTGGAAGGGGTGAGAATTTCTGTGTTTTTAAATTGTGCTTTCCATCAATTAAAAAACATCTAGATCTTGATCTCGAAAATTCCCCGTTAGCTAGCTATGATGCTGCAGAGCACAAAGTGCTGTGTCATTTTTTTAATGGACGTATGTGTTTAGAGTGGGTGGATTATGGCATAAAGGAACCCCCCAATACGATACAGGGCAAAGATCATCAGATATACCTCAGTTGTTGGTTTTTCGACATTTTTGTGTAACGCTTTTATCTCTTTGGCCTTTTTGTAAATGTACTGGCAGCATTCTGTGCTTCTTAACTACAATATTTTTGTCTTGTAGTGGCTCTGTTTGTCATTTCAGTCGGTTTTGTGGGAGTTTTTTTTTTTTTTCCTTTTCTCTTTTCAGGGTCTCTTTCATCAAGGTCCCCACCCCCTTCTTTTCCTATGACCTTTATTTTCTATCATTTAGTTTTTTCTTAAATCTCATTTCAGGTGTTTTGTTCCTTTTTGTTTCAGCCAAAACACCTTGGCTGTTTGAACAAAATAGACCAAAAAGCCCTTTTGGTCTAACTTAGACTGACATCAGAATTTTGGGATTCACAAAGGCTGACAAAGGATTCACAATTTGCGTGTGAGGGCTGAATGACTTGGTTTTATCATGGCTCTGGCGTTTAGGCTGTAGATGTGTAGCTGGAGCCACCTATAGCCTCGTCAGACGGTGCAAATGAGGCTTCCTGCTCATTTTGGCTACGCTTGACAATTCCGTCTCATTTGAAAAACATCAGAATAAAGAAAACCTCGTAGGGCTTTTCACCTCTCTGATTGGGAGCGTAAACAGGCGTCGAACTCCAAATTTCCAAAACAATGAGATTATTCTTAAACTGTTGTGTGTCCCGTGGAGATTTCCTAGTGCCTGAAAAGCTCCCTCTGTCTGCTCCGCAGCCTCTCCGAGGGAAGAACACGGTGGATCTGATTGTTGAGGGCTCCGTCTTGGAGCTCCGGGATGTTTCAGACCCTTCCCTTTACTGGCCTGTTCGGGTGGTTCGGAACATCGGGGGCAGGCTCCAGCTGCGTTACGCGGGCCTGTCCGAGGAACAGCAGGCCCACGACTCCTGGCTCTTCTATCTGGACGTCAGGCTCCGGCCCCTGGGCTGGGCCCTGGAAAACCACCTCGCCTTAGAGCCACCGACCGGTCAGTCTAACCTTTTTACCTCTTTTCTTTCGCAGTCGGACAGAAGCTGCTGTTATGGGAACGCTGAGAAAACAAAAGAGTTATCATACGTGTTGTGGTTTTGATTGAGAAGGGGAAAAAAATCTCTCTCTCGTCATAGATTGTTATGTCTCGTCTTTGCACCAGATATCCTTCAGAGATGAATGGATGAAATACTCCTCCGCTTAGTAATTTGGGCGTAAAAATACTGCACCATAAATGAATACCCTGACAACGAGCGGCTGAGTGGAAACACAACTTCCCCAAAGCCAAAACAGAGACACTTTTTTTTGGTGGTCTTAGATACAAAAAAAACCCTGCATCAGTTTGTAAACAGTGAGAAGAGGGATGTTGGAAGTTTAGAAACCTAAAGTGGCCTTTTAGCCATCTTGTATCAGAAAACAAGAACGATCTGTAAATAAAACAAAATTGTTGTTTTTAAACATGTTTTTTTTTTAGCGCAGCCATTACATTTACTTTTAAGATACATAATCAGAAGCTAATTTAGTTTTTGTTTAATCAAGCCTCGATTAAAAAAAGCATTTGTGTGAGGTGCGATCTTTCTGATCCCCCAAATCGTGATTTACTTACACAGCCTAAAGTGAATGGAGAGCATGAGTCTTTTAACATGAACCTAAATATACAGTGCTTACATAAAATCTTTATTTCTTAGTTTTCTATTTCCAATGAGTTAGCAAAAATATCTAAACGATTGTGATTGCAAAGCAATGTGAAAAAGCATTTTTGCACTGGAGTATTGTGTGTAGAATTTTGAGGAAGGATTCATTCAGTGCTATTTGGAACAAAGCCACTTAAGGATAAGAATCAGGTTAGAAAAAAAGTGGAAAAGCCACACACTGTGAATACTTCTCTGACGTCCTGATGTTGTCATCTGCTCAGATCTCAGGACTCTGCAGAGCACCGGCGAGTGGCAGCAGGCCCTGGAAGACGCCCAGCTCCACGGGCAGGCCAGTCCTCTGCCGCTGGAGGTCTTCAAGGTGCGTTCCCAGCATTTTCTGGTCACCGACTCTGACCAGGAGGAGATTATAGCTGACGTGTCAGTGCCCAGATCTTTTCTTGGATGTTTCGTAAAAGGTTACTTAAATGTTACCAGGTGGCGGTTAGTTTTTAAGAGATAAAAAGAAGGCTTCATAGAAGACGAGCTAGATCTAATTTCTCCGTTAGTTTCACATTCGCTCATCTGAATGCGCCAACTGTGCGCTGAAGAGGACGCTCAACAGGATGCAGGGTCAGTTAGGAGTTAAGAGAAATGTTTTTCCCCCACCGAAAAATTCCCTGAAAGTAATTTTAAAGTTAGAAAAACAGATAAGGGGCGATTAGTAAATAGGCTCAGTTCTGATTAAACAAATTGACTAGAATAAGATCACTGAGATAAAAGCAGCTATTATGCAGCCTGGCTCTTGTGGAAGAACTCTGCCATCTGATCCTTCACATCAACGTATCCACCTGATTCACAGATCTTTTCCCACCTCTGTTTTATGATTCTAATCGCAAGAAGGGAGGCTAAAAAAAACTTGACTGGTCAGTTCTCTTATTTAAACGTCTTTATGTCTACACAGACGAAACACAGAAAACAAACAAAGGAGCTGATTATCCACTGCCAGCTTCCTGGTAAAGCTGGTGTTTTGCGAGACAAAATCAAACATCTGTGTCATAAAGGAAGATAAATCTTCCCAGTCAGTTTGACCTGAATCGGAGCGCTGGCATGCCGAGCGGCCTCCAGGCAAAACACAGAGATAACAGCAACGCCATCATTACCAGATCCAACCGAGGAGATTCCCCTGAATATCACAGTTCAGTTGTTTTTCTTCTTTAAATAAGAGCAGCAGCATACATCTATGCTCGGATGCAAAAAGGAAAATTTAGCTGGGCCTAACGATCGCCGGTCGCTTCCCCGCTGTGCTGCTGCGGCCTACATGCTCCTGAAGGCGTTTAAAAAGTGGAGCACGTTTGTCTGACAGTTGACTTTACTGTGTCAGGACCACGTAGACCTGCCCAAGCACTCCTTCAAGACGGGCATGAAGCTGGAGATGGTTTCTCCGAGGGAGCAGCTCCAGATCTGCCCCGTTTCTGTCACCAAGGTGAGTCACTCCGGAAAACCAGGCCTTATCTACAGCGTAATGTATGGAAGTTTCCGGCAGGCTCCTCCCACGGGAATTTTTCAGCTGCTGCAGGAAAAAGATGATTTTTTTTTTTTTTTTTTTTTTTGGCATGGTTCCTCATGTGAATTCCAGTAAGAGGAATTCACTGACTGCGTTCCAGGGAAGTTCTTTGGTATTTCATCACATATGTTAGCAGCAATAAAAACAAAAAAACGTCTCTCTTTTTAAGGCAGAAAGTGCTGAATTACAAGAAAAATTATTTGGTGAACTAACAATTTGACTAAAAACTGCAACGAACATCTTATGTCATGTGGTGAAATCCAAAGAGAAGGTGTTTTTTTTTGTTTTTTTTATGCTTCCCATGAGAATCCAGAATCTGTTGAGGGTATGCCTTGTGTTTCGGGTCTCCTGAATTAGTTTTTTCCTTCTGCCGGCACAGATTTCTTCTCATTTATTTCAGCTAAAAAACACTTCTGCTGTCTTGGTAGAGCGCTGCACGCTCAGACCCCAGACCTTCCCCTCAAACCTTGCTCTCTGGTTCTGGGTTAACAGCTTGAGCTCTAAAATAACTTTGAAATCTTCTGATTGAACCACGGAAAAAAAGATACCACAAATGATGAGGCTCCTTTTTTTCCCCTTTCTTTTTTCTGCAGTTTTCTTTTCCTATTGAGCTTCACTGTGGCAACAATTTGAAAATAATTCTCAGCGTTTGCATCTTTGACCCCGTAAAACATGAAACTTTAACTCGTAGCTTATTACCTGAACCATTAGACTTTCCTACCTTAGTGTCTGATGTCTTGTGTGGTCTTTTTTTATTCTTCATTTTCCCAACAACCCTAAGCAGATATGTTCTTATCACAACTTCCTGGAAGCATATTAATAGTTTAATAACCTTTGCAGCGGTAATCTTTAACCACTGCTTCCTTAATGTGATAAAACCATAATTTACTGGTTGATTCCCGTTAGCACCCGTGTGCAATGAAAATAAACACATGTGGGTTATCTTTATTTAGTCTGACAGACTTTATTTTTGTATTTTATTATTTAAATGGGTGTGTATAGTAGCCAGGAATTTTACTCCTGGAAGATTATTCTAACTTTAGAAAATATTAGTCGAGTAAAAGTCAAAAGAATATGAATTACAAAAAAGTTAAAGTATTCGAGTACTGAGTAACTGCTGATTTATTGATTTAAATATTAGGGGACGAATTTCCTCAAAGAAGACCAAAATATTAGACATGGTAACGATTTAGAAAACTGAAATAAAAAAATAAATCCTTAAAATGAACATTTGCCATACATGGTATTATAGACTAATTTATTTATTTACACATCTTGATTTTGTTGATTTAAAAACAACCTGTTAGGCACCTCAGACGTCCCATATGGTCCCTCCAGGCCCAAACGAGGGCCTCTCTGACAACCAGAAAACAGACACAGGTTCATTAATGTTGGAGGTTCCTTCAAGTCTGGCCGTGATAAACCCCTTGCTTCTGTTTCCTCCTCAGGTTTACAACGACACCTACTTCCAGGTGACGCTGGACGATCTCTCTGCCGACGCCACGCCGCGCCCGGTGGTGTGTCACGCCGGCTCCCCCGGCATCCTGCCCGTGCAGTGGTGTCTTAAGAACGGCGCCGCGCTGGAGCGGCCGCGGGGCTACGGGCTGCCGCAGGACTTCGACTGGGCCGACTACCTGAAGCAGAGCGGGACCGAGGCGGCCCCCGACGCCTGCTTTCCTGACGTAAGGCCGCGCCGACTCGGCGGCTTGTAATAATTTACGCGCGACATTTAGACGCCTGTTTATTATTTAGATTGCATTTAAATATTTAGAAAGCCCGGCACGGAAGAAAAAACATGGGGATTTGGCGCACGCCGGCCTTATCGGAGGCGTCGTCAGCGAGCAAAGCAGGGAGAGGCGGGATTGTTTGGGACACAACCAGGGCGATGTTTACAGTGACGGGTTTTAGAAGGAAACACAAAAGAGCTGCTGAGGAGAAAGGTCGAATGCTCCGCAAATTCTCAGAAAAGGTTATATTATGCAATGAAACCCTCACACTGGTCCATTAACCTGATTCCAGTACATGAACTCCTGGCTGCCAGTGGTCAGAATGTTACGGCAGATTGCATTATTTTTATTAAATAATGCAATAATGCAATCCGCATTTCAACCGGATAATGCATCGCCTTCCAGTTTTGTCTGAGATGTTTTAATGTCAGTCGGTGGATTTTGTCATTTGGTCTACGTGGTGCAGGACGCCAGCGTAAAACAAGTTTTAATACTTATTTTCCAGGAATAAAAGGGGTCTAATGATGCCCGCCGTGGACCATTAACAACACATTCTAAGTTATAGTTAGTTTGATATACTTACTTGAAGGCAAACTCCTTTAAAAAAAAATCCCATTTACTTCAGACATGGCAGCATCGAGCCTTCAGCAAGGACATGTGGCTGGAGGCGGTAAACCCTCACCGGCCGGCCGAGGTGTGCGTGGCTCAGATCTCACAGGTCAGAGGACGCCTGCTGTGGCTCCGACTGGAAGGTACGGATTTCTGTGTGCCTGGATTAAGTGTGGCTGCACCCCCTGCCGCGTCTCCGACTGGAAGCGTAAACAAAACTCTTCCCTCCTCTCTATCCTGTCCACCGACCCTCCAGGTGTGGCCAAGCCCCTCTCGGAGTTAATTGTGGACGTCGAATCCATGGACATCTTCCCTGTTGGCTGGTGCGAAGCTAATGGCTACCCTCTGACCACTCCACTCAAACCTGTCTGTATGTACACTGCAGAAAAAAAACACAGACACACAAACACACACACACACAAGTGTGCATTATTTTCCGGGAAATGACAGCTTAATGCAACAGCTCTCTCATTTTTTCCCCCGCAGGCCAGAAGCAGAAGAAGATAGCGGTTGTCCAGCCAGAAAAACAGTAAGAAAAACAAGCTCAAACCTTTTTTAAATTTGAACTTTTGGAAGGTTTAACCTGATTTTAAAAAATGCATCTCTTGTACTAAAAATAGTCAAGTTTATAATTTTTTAAAAATCCTCCAGGTCTAAAAATGAATTAAGAATTGTGTGAAAAACAAAGCACACAAACCACAGAAATTAGGAGAGTAGGTAGAAACCAGGCGCTGGAGATCAAATTCATTTGATTGGCTGAGCATCAGCAAGAGGACCTCCTGTAAAAACCGGCCTCAGCATTCTGCTGATCGGTGGCTCATCCGTATCAAAACAATGCCAAGAGAGAAAGAGACCCGCAGCAATCTTAAGGGAGGCCATTATTGCGGCCCATCAATCTGGGAAGAGCTCTAAGAGAATTCCCAGGCTTTGGAGTCTGTCGTTCTACAGCCAGAAAGATTATTTATACATGGAAAACATTCCAGGAAGTTGACAGTCTTCCCAGAAGTGGATGTCAAAGGAAACTCATCCTATTGTCAGACTTCAATAAATATAGGATAAGGTGTTAAAAAAAACAAAAAACATCTCAGACTCTGCAGGCCTCGCTTAGCATGCTAAACGTTCAAATCAATGACAATGCTGTTAGTGGGAGACAATTACTTGAAATGCCTAGTTTTTTGTTTTTTAAAGCATTACTTCCTCATCTTTCTATAGTTTTTGTTTCTCTTTACAGAGATGACACGTTCAATGTGTCACTTTCATCTGAAACTGTATTTATATATATATAGCTGGTTTGAATAAAAGAGGATGTACTTTATAACATAAGTGTTAAAAAAAAGTCTTTCGTCTAAAGCGAGTGGATTAAAACTGAGGAAGAAATAGAAGATGTAAATCTAATTAGATAAAAATTTTCACTCAACTCTAAACTTGAATGTACAACTGTTGGAGATTAAAGTACCAGTAAATATTAAAATGTAAATTACCAATTTGAATAGAAATTACAGAGTAAGTTTTTTAATCTTGGAATCTCACTGTTAACTGGGGGCCAAAATAATGAAAGAAAAATGGCATTTCTGGTTAACTTTGCACGCTTTTAGCCATGACGTGAGCAAAAACCGCTGCAGACTTTTCCCCCCCTCCCCCTCCAGTAAACGCCAACAACAAAATGCTTCGAAATGATAGCTTATAGAATGGGAAGGTTCCTGGCTTTCATGTCTTTTTTGCTGTTTGGGCCCTTTTTACCTGCAAGCTTTAAAAAGAAAAGAATTTCCACCCTCGAGGCAACCCTCCCTCGTTAATTGAAACAGTGGCTTTTTTAGGGCAGAGATTGCTTTCCCGAGGCAGTGATTGATTTTGTTGACAAATGACACGTTGCGCTGTTGGCTGGAAACGCAGGGCCTTGAGAACGTGATGGGGGGGGGGGGGGGGTCGGCCTGAGAGTGGGAGAAATATGAAGTGTTCAGCTGCACTTTGTCTCCCCTCTCATCTAACCGCTAACTCCTTTTCATCAATACACCCACATACCCCCACCAATCTACCACCCCCCAACCCCCGTTGATTTTTTTTTTTTTAACACACCTGCTTCCAAACCTGACAGAAACTGCGGCGGCTGCCAATGGAGCGTTTGGTTTCTCTGGTTCCTATATTAGTTCCTGTTTGATTCCATCGGTTGGTGGGGGGTATCTGATCATTCTGATGGTTCTTTCATGCAGGTTGGCTCCGTCCCAGCCCGTCGAGGCGACCCCAGCCAACCACTGCCAGCCCGTCGCCATGGATCCAGGTAATCAAAAGAGCCAGTAATTAATGGTAATGAGCCGCCATAACGAGAGCCAAGGGGGAAGCCCGACGCCCCTCCACCCCGGGCCAACTCTGTTCTTCAGACACTCCTCTGCTGGAACGCGCCGCAGCTCTGTGACGGCCGCTTTATCGCTCGCGGTTTATGCTCCCCGTGCACAGCGGAGCCCCGTACAGAGGGGCCATAAAAGAAGCCTCAGAGGTTTTCACTCATCGGTTTTAAGCCTTTAATTAATTGCCCAAGAATGTCTGCACACAGAGCTTTTTCTGGCCCGCGCCGTTCCTCTGCTCTGAGACGCACGCTGCTTATTTCTCCTCCCATCGGTGTTGATAAATATTGACGTTCCAAGTCAGTAATTTGAAAAGTAAGTGGGTGATCAAACAAAAAGGCATTAGAAATTAGGGCGTATGCCAATTTTTTTTCAAAAGTAGAATGAAATTTCACGTATTGTTTTTCGTCAGGTCTTTTTGTTCTACTTCAAACATTCAAACTTTGAAAGAGTGCGGATGATCCGTCATACATTTAATCTGTGTAAGAAACGGAGCAAAAAATAGCTGGAAAATAAATACAGAAATGGAAAATAAACAACCTACTGGTCCAGTGCAGTACAGTGTAGGAGTTCTATTCCATAACCCCCCCTCCATAGGCAAAAATCCACAAAGTGGAAAATCCTTATTTTTATTCTATTGTTTATATATCTTTTGAGGCTTTAAAAACCTTCCGCACTCTTAGTTATTAACTCCTTTCTGCACTCTTAAACAGACGTTATTCTAGCAAATTCTGTATGGGTACTTGGTCACTTCCCATCCATCAGCCAGTAGAGATCTCACACGGGCAAACTCGCTCAAGTAGAAGCAGTTTTAGCTCAAATTTCCATCTGTGTGAGTCTATGTCTAATCATCTGCTGTGTGCTACGTATTTCATTTCAGTTTAATGTTCTTTGATTCTTTTCATTCTTATTTTTTATCTACTTTTTTTAGCATTTTAGGCTAGAAAATGCTTATTTTATCGCAAATAATTTCAATAACAAATATATTAAAAATACCTATATGCCTCATTCACAAGATTTAACAGAAAATCCACTGCGATATGGCGAGAGAACATTGCATATATTTGTTTTACAATTGCTTTGCAACCAAAGCACACCATTTACGTTGCAGTGTGATTCAGCTCTAGAATGTGTTGAGGCCACCCCCCCCAAAAAAAACTCATGATCACTTTCTTTTCTTTCTATATTACAACAACATAATTTCCTCTTGAGGATTCATATTATTGGTTTTCATTGTGTTGGAGGCAGAGTCGTGATTACAGAGTCAGTGCTTTAAATGTTACCCTGCAGTACGCATGGTATTAAATCAAACAGATTACATAATGTTTTTGTCAGTTGTGGGGCTCGACTTCCCTGTCCCAGTGCAGCCAGGCCTTCCTATTTCCAGACTTTGTGAGCAAACGTTTTGTCCCTGAATTTCTCAAGCTGCTCAGAAGCTGTATGAAGTGCAACTGGCTGCGCCACAGCGACCCGCTCAAATGATGAAAGCGGTTTCGCTTCTAGTTGCTTCCAACAGTCCAAATAATTCTGTTTCACTTGTGGCCTGACCTGGTAACATTCTACTGGAACTTGCAAAATAGATCCAGAGATGCCTACTGGTTTAATTCTTAAAAGAATTACTGGACTAGCAGCCACACTAAACTGCAGCCTGTTTAATCATGTGACTTCTTGTGGTTCATTTCCTCGCCCGCAGGTGTTTATTTGTTCTTTTACAAAACAGTTTTTCTTTTTTTTCTTTTTCCACTTCGTTTGCCCGTTGAATCCGGTTTCACAGGAAATCATC